GTTGGGGCAGAGTATCCGAGGAACGCTTGTCCCGTCCCCCGTGTCCCCCCCCAGCTCCTGACTCTTTCCGTGTCCTTGAAATACCGCGCCGTGCTGGATGTGCCGCACGGCTCTTGAGGCACAATGGATTTTTTTTTTTTCCCCCCTGTCCTTGTAACACTTTCGTTTGATGTAGCAAAGATCTCGGTTAAGTGCATGTGTTTCCCCAACTCTAGAACGGTTGTCAGGGCTTGAAGCGTTTTCATTAACAATTTTACGATGGAGTGAGACTGGGGAGGAGGAGGAGGAGGACGTTGATTCACCAGGGAAACAGGGAAGTGGCGCGATGAGTTCCCTTTTCTTAAACCTGTTCTTACTTGCACTGCGCTGCATCTGCTGGCCCTGGAATACCGAGGTCTTGCAAGAAGGGGGGGGGGGAAGTGGGCAACGTCCATGATGATGGGATACGCAGGAGTAGGTGGAGATTTTTCTCTTCTGTTTCTATGGGATACGTCTCGGATTTTTAGAGCTCCATCTGTGTGTAATTTTCAAGGAGGATTCAGGAATTCGTATATTACTTATAAAAATCGGAGTTTGGATGGTGCTTCCTTTTATAAAAGGAATTTGTAGCCAGCAGCAGAAAGCTGTTTCTGCCATGTGAGGCCATAGTAACTTTAGCATTGCTGTATTTTTGATCTCAGAGAAACGTAGGTTTTGTTTTGCTTTCTTAGAGTTTTTTTTTAAAGTACAAAGAAGTTGAGTGCTAAAATGCATGCTGTCTGCATTAAGAGAATACTCTTTAAAATTCTTCTTATTACTTAAAAATATACTTCTTACATTAACTCTCCAGAAAACGTTATCCTCGCGCACATTTCACGAGAACTGAAATTCTGGGATCTTTCATATTTTGTGCAAGGAACCACCTGAAATTGTTGCCCAAAGAATCCTCAGGCAGCTGCAGCTTCCTTCCCCCTTAGGATGAAGAGCACTTCCAATTCTTAGCTGTTCTTGAAGTGTGTTCTTTGTAGGTAGGCTTCACATAGATTTCCCTGCATTCAATAGTTTTCACATTAACGTCTGAGTAACTGTACTTTCAAGATACTTGTGAAATGATTATGAAAGGGGTCTAAAGCACAGTTAGTAAGATAACTACTGCTTTTAAGTGTGTCTGCGCTCCAGATGCTATCTCACTTAAGGTGATCTTTTTTTCTGGCTTTTTTCTTCTCTTTCTCCAAAATGTAATATAGGAGAACAGAGGAACTTCCTTTCTAATGCTATTGTCTTGAGCTAAACCAAAAAAGTAAATAGAAACACAACAAGATTGTTACTGTTATAGAAGTTTATCATAGTAACTAAACCTTACTTCAAACAGGATTTGAGTGATGTAGGCAGATCTAACTCTTAAATCATCAGAACTTTTCTGCTTGTTACACTTAGCAACACAGTAAAGGAACTCTTTATTTGTATGTTCCTATAGAGGTGCTTACATCATTTAGATACTTGAAGTTAGCTAATAGTTAACACTGATTGGATATGTCCCAAATACTTGAGACTTACTCCCAGAAATACGAAGAGTTAATGTTTGTTGTGTCTGTGTAGCGAGGTATAAAAATATCTGAACTAGCTCTGGACAAGCTGGTACACTTTCATGCGCAGTGTGGTGTTATTAAGCCACGTAAAGATACTGGGTTAGGTACTAAAGATAGGACAGTCCTGGCTGTGCTCTACAGGGCTAATTGCTCTTTCTGGGCAAGGCTAATTAGTGCAGCCAGCTCCCAGTTTTGGAGCTGGTTCAGCTATCTGCAATAATGGTGTGAACAGTACAGCGTTAGTGTAAGCATGCTTCAATGCCACAGACAAAACCAGTGTAGGCTTATGGAATATATGTATTATCACAATTTAATACAGCACTCAAGTCATAGATCGAGTGTCCCAGTTGTTAAAACATTCCGGTGATCCTTTATTAACATTGCCTGCCTGCAGCCTACGTGCTGTAATCTAAGGTATAGAATTGTTAGCGTTTGTAGAATGTGTATCATCTTTGAAGCTTTGGCACAAGTATTTTAGAAAGAAAGGAAAAAGATTCTGCCATTAAGCCATCTGTTTCAGTAGAACTTGTACTTTTTAAGGCTTTTGGCCTTAGCATCTCTTTTTGAGACTTTGCTTTTTCTGAACTGGGAGCTCCAGCAAGTTTGTTGTGCATGTTTCCAGCATGCCAGGCGTGTTAAACTCATGGCAAATGACCCTTTCAAGTGCTGTGCCTCGCTGCTGTGGCTTTGTGGAAAAACAGTTGATTGTTGATAGCTCCTAATTTCTTAGTAACTTTTTTTAAGACCGTGTGTAATTAGCGTATTCACAAACTGTAATTAAAATGATGAGGTAGCATCTTTTTCAAAACAGTGCGTGGAGAGGGTTGAAATGTCCTTCTGGTGAAGAGAGTTGCTACCTGTAGAAAAGGCTGTGTACTGTTCCAAAGCAGGCTGAGGGCAGTGGTGGGGGAGACGGTTCACTTCCATCCTGACAGTGGATGTGCTTCCTAAAGAGCTGTTTTGGATACAACTGAAGTGTTTGGAGCCAAAGAGAGGGTGTTTTATTTTTTGACATCTCTGCTTCCTAGCCAAGGGAGGGAGAAGCCAGCCATCCCCTTGTGCTGGAAGTGCGTAATTGAAGTAAACCATGGCAGGAACGCTGGTGGGCTAAATAGCTTCCGACTTGACGCTTCATGCTCTGCATAGGGGTATTAGCAAGTAGTGCTGTCTGTCAACAGAGTCAAATCCTCACACTGAAAAAATGTGATGTAATAGCATTAGCATGTTATTGTCTATAGAACAAATGTAAACCATTTGCACCCTTTATAAATTGCTCTTTCATCTGACTTTCCTTAATTACTACAAAGTATAATTTGGAACTGTAGCATTAAGTGACGTTAAAAATTCTAAAAGCCATTTGCGAAAGGTGAACTACATACTTGCAAGTATAGGGCAATGCATTGTCTGTTTGCAGCAGTTAAATCTGGAGGAGGTTTTACATGTTCGGTGTGGTGGTACAGCAGAAGTTGCTAGATGATACTGTCAAATTACATACAGTGTCCTCATTGTAGTGATGATGCAGAGGAGGCAGGAAGCAGTCTACTCTAGTGACCTTTATGCATTCGTTAAACAATTAAATTTGAACTGTATGAAATTTGGGTTGTATCTGTTACTTACTACTGAATGGGTTGAGCCTAATGAGTTCCCTTTTGGGGAAGCAGTTCTATTTCAAATTCATAAGTGAAGATGTGGCAATAGTAACTTCCAAAACAACAACTAAAGTTTCCAAAGGCGGCAGCGAGGTGGCCAGATGGTGGCTGGGGACCTGGGGCAGCCTTGGCTTTGTACTGGAGGCTGCTCAGTGGTCACCTGAGAAGCTGCAAGGGGCAGCTTCCCCAGCCCTTTTTGCCTGTTGGCAGTGTGGTCCTGGTAGTCCTCAGTCACTGGAATTGCTCAGCAGTCTGTAGAACTGGACTGTTTATCTGCCTTGGGCTTGGGTGGTGGTTTTTTATTGTCTCATGATTATTGTTGCTAATAGCACTTACAGTGTGAATGTGGTACTGTCAGACTTCAGGGTTCTTGAGTCATGAAGACTTGACTGGTGAAGTTCAGGTTTTTAAAATAAATGTCACAGGCTTCTTTGGTTATAAGCTGTGACCCAAAAGTAAGTATTAATTCTTTACCTTCCTGATAAGATCTGTAGAACACATAAGCTTTTAAAGAATTCCTTAGATGCAATTATAATGAAAGCAATTGCGGTTGCTTGTAGTTTCTAAACTAATTTGTGAAGAACAAAATAATTAGAATTCTACTGCAAGTTCCGGTGCTTCATGCAATAATGCTGTTAAATACCACATCCATGTTCTGATACTTTAATTTTTTGTCAGTGTTTTGAAAAGTGCTATGGAAATATTTTATGATGTTTTCTTTTAAAAGTTAATTTCTTTTTTTTTTTTCCTGTTTTTGCTTAGAGCATGTATATCTTTAGGATCCAAGACCCGGGCCATTGGGAATGCAGCAAAGAGCCAGGTAAATGGATGAAGACCTCTCCTATTAGTTACCTGACCTGTGTCCTGTTGAACTGTGGGAAGTAATTAATAAATTTTAGATTCTTCTATTTTAAAGTAAATTTTCTACAATAAGTGTATATTTCACAGTAACAGTATACTGCTTCAACAGTATAATCCCTGTATTAAAATTGAAACAGTATTTCTGCATTGTTTTGTCGTTCAGAGTAAAAAATGGGAAGAAACAGAAAACCTTGTTTCTTTCCCAGTAAAAGATTTTTTTTTCTTGCTTACTCATGACAGCAAGAATAAAGTTCATAATCTCCATTGGGAGTGGGGAGGAATACTGTGCTTATGTTTTAGAAAAATTGAAACTGAAGTTGAAGGAAAGAAGTTTGGTATAAATACTGGTTATTGCTTAGAATGTGAAACAAATGCATCTTAGTAATTTACTGTCTCTATTTGGAACTTTGAACAGAAGCAAAATTTCTCTAATCCTCTGTAAATTCACTTGTAGCCTAGGAAACCCTTCCTCTGGAAGGAAAATATGTAAAAATTCCTAATAGCCAGTGTGAATCTACAAATTCAGAATAGGTAGGGTCTTGCCCTCTTTCTCTGCATCTGTGCATCGTGTTAGCACACAGAGGACTTCCTTCCCCTTAGTGTAGAGTGTGGGTATTTGGAAATCTGCCTGGCGAATATGAAGGTAATAGAGCCCGCCGGTAGTACCATGAGCAGTCAGTATATGCAGAGGCTGTATCACTTTCATTCTGAGAAACTTTCCACTTCTTATCTGAGCTCAACCCCTGAACTTTGCTGGTGAAAAGGTGTCCTGTTAGTACTCTTCCCAGCTATAAAGTTTGCTATTTAGGCTAATAAACTGGACTAGTTTATCTCGGGGAAGATTACCCTGGAGTAATTTCTTTTGATAGCTTAAATATTGTGTTTGTTGGGATTTGTTTGTTCTGGTCCTTTCTTTACTTAAAAATCTGTCCTTAAAGTTGAAATGCTGATGGGACAATAGGGGTGGGGAGGCTTTATGTCTAGATGGGATCTGAATTAGAGGCGAAATTGAAAGGAAGTGAAACATGTTAATTTGTCAAAACTTCATTTAAGGTTAATGTAGGTAATAACTTCATTTGTTCCTGCAGACAGCCATGGCAACAGTATGTAATATGATCTCGGGTATTGCATGCTGTATCAGAAAGCTCCTCTAAAAGTACAGTGAAAATTGATGGCAGCAAGCTAATGGATATTAAAGAGGGAAGTAAATTTGTTGGGTTTTTTTTTTTTTAATGGAGACCTTAGACTAAAAATTAGATGCTTCTTTCTCTCCCCCAGCCTTTGGTTTCCAGTAAATGTGTGTGGCTTGACATGGGTCTGCAGCATGTGCAGTAAGCCTAGCATGACAAGAGATCCTTTCTGGGTGGTCTTCTATAGTCTGTGTGTCATGGGTAATTAAAGATAAAATACATTTTCCACAGATTGTCACAAATGTAAAAAATACGCTACATGGCTTCAAAAAACTGCATGGAAGAGCATTTGAAGATCCTTACATACAAGCTGAAAGGGCCAAACTTCCCTATGAACTTCAGAAGATGCTGAATGGCTCTGTAGGAGTAAAGGTGAGTTACAGCTTTGTACAGAATATCTTTAGTGGTAGGGATGAGCACTTTGGACCTTTGTCACTTCACTTCCTACTTGAACTGACTTAGGTTTTCCTTAAGAAAACTCTAAATACATTCTCACTAATTTTGAAAAGAAATGTCAGGTGATAACCAGTACAATAACACCTTTTATTTTTCACAGAGCCTGCCTTTGCATAGTTTTGCTATGTTTCTCATTTCTGCTTGTAATTCATTCACTTCTTTAGATGTCCAGGAAAATCTAGAGTACTTGCTCTGTATTACATATTCATGTCTTGTAGTAATAAAGTAGTGTAAAAAAGGTATTGCTCTGTCTCCTATACAGGTATGCTATAAAACGTTAATAGCTCTCACCCCAAAAAAAGTTAAAGTTTGTTTCATTCACCTTCAGTGAAATTGCCTGTGTAATAAATCTGCTGTTACCAAGAGATGAAGAACATTTTATTCCCTGCAGTAACATCTGCTCAAGTACTGTACTTTCTCCAAGATGTCTGTTGAGGTTTCTCATCCGTTGTATTAGCTTTCTATAGTCACATTAGTAGCTTGTCACCTTACCTTACTAGATTTACCTTCAAATACATGGAATTATAGCGTGTGGTTATTAGTCTCATCTGAGTTTAGATCTTACGTACATGAAGAGACCAGGTTTCAGGAAAACAAGATAATGCTCTGAAGATGTAATCTGAACAAGTTATTTCCTTCCAAACTAAAAGGCTGGAAACTGCACTTCTCAAAGATCAGGCTTTCTGGCTTCAGTCTCTGAACGTGTCTATGTCTAGTGTTTTAATTTGGATCAGGAGTGCACTTCTGAAGCAAATCTTACAATCATCCTCACTCGGTGCACTTTTTAATTTGCTTTCTGGCCAAGTTTCCCACAAAACAATTTTCAACTAAATGGAAGTTATGATTTATGATTTGTTGAAGGGAGCACAAATCCATAGCATCAATTGATACAGAGAGTTATTCGTGTCCAGAGTCTGGTGTTAAACTTGGGTCTCGATGCTCAAAATTACAAAAGATGTCTAAGTTGCACATCTTACAGAAAAGTTGAGATGATTCATTACAGAATTGCAATGCTCTGTTTCAGGTGAGATACCTAGATGAAGAGAGACTGTTTGCAATTGAACAGATCACAGGAATGTTATTGGCCAAACTTAAAGAGACTTCAGAAAGTGCTTTGAAGAAACCAGTAGCAGACTGCGTGATTTCAGTAAGTTGTAATATATTTCTTGCGATTCTCTATCTATAGATAACTTTATGTAAGCTAGTACCATTCATGCCACGGTGCAATGGTAAGAGATACAAGTAATGGATAGAAATCGCACGCACACCCCTCCAGAATGGGCCTTTATTACAGGGTTTTCCAAATGAGAATACTTTTGTAACCATGTGTGGGGAGATGGAAAAGTTGTTAAATTAAGAGTGTGTTTTCAGAAAGACCATACTACTTAAGCTGATCCAGACTGGTTAACTCCAAGTGCTACATATAGTAATCCTGATTACTGTGGTTCCTGTTATAAATGGGAACTGTCCAATGTGTAAGCCTGTCTTCTTCAGTTCTAAAGAAGCTTCCCAAATTCATGTTCAGTTTCTTTGCTCTTACATAGTTGAACACTGTTGGGTTGTAGTATAGTTGAGAGTTGCCTGAACTTTACGGCTCTGAGGGTCATTCTGGCAATTTGAGAAGCCCAAACTACCTGCATTTGTTTGAAAAGGTATTTTTATTTGGCTGCTTTACTTGTGTTGGGTTTTTTTAGCTAGTGTCCTCACCCATGGTGGGAGGAAGGGCTCAGAGATGAGGTTTTGTTCCTAATGGAGTCCTAACTGCCTGCTCTTCACATTCTTTGTTTACTGCTTCACTTCTGGTGTTGCTCTGCTGAGAAGTCTGGGCATGAAGTATTGGGGTTATCCCCCCTCTGTCAGACAGACACGGGAACTGGAAAGCTGTATACTTTAGCTGTTAGAAATCTACTTTGATCTTCTTCCTTGCTTCCTTATGGTATACAAAGACACTTGCAGAGACTACCTCCCAGACAAACAAGAATCCCTAGTAATACACCACAATGACAGTTAAGGAAATACACTATGAATGTAATTCTAAGTCTTGAGCTTGACTGAAGTTGAAGATATGCCAAGGGATTGCAGCCAGTTTCTAAATGGGCTCCGATTGTACTTCAGCTGGTTTTGGTGGAATGGAGTATTGTAGTGTGCTGTAAGCTGGCACTGTGGCCGAGGTGATAACTGAAAAATAGATACAGATTCAGTTGTAACACAAAGTTTAGTTCAGGGCGAAGTTTAGTTCCAGCGTCACCAGTGCTTCTGCAGTAACTTACTTTGGGGCTATCTATGAATGTTTAATGTGTTTGTTTTGTGCTACGCAAATGGTCTCAGAAACTGGTAGTGATTGTAAGATCTAAGACTCATCAGAAGAATGTGAGAAAACATGTTCAGGTTTTTTTTGGTGCTTAAATCTACTTAGTTTAAAACAACTCTGGATGTCATTTCATTTTTGTCATATTACGAAATTCTAATTAAAATACGCACTAAAATGAATCGCCTAGCTGTTTTATTCAGACTGCCTTATTAACGTGAGGTTAGCTTATAACAGTTTCTTGCGGTATTGAAATTTATAGGGTTGCTTGATTGGTAAGTCTGACTCATTTAAATTAAAAAATTCTTACTTCATAACATCCCATGTAATTATTTTTTGGAAACAGGTACCCAGTTTCTTCACTGATGCTGAGAGAAGGTCTGTAATGGCAGCTGCACAGATCGCAGGATTAAATTGTCTGAAGCTGATGAATGAAACTACAGCAGGTAAAGGGCAGCAACACGTTGTTGTTGTTGTTGTTGTTGTTTTAACCCATTCAGGCTATTGAATCCGTGAGGGTGATGGCAGCCTCCTGTAACACAGTGAGGAGCTTGGGGAAAAGCTCTCCAGGCTAGTGCTGCCAAATCCAGCTTGGGAACTGGAAACAGCTTTTTCGGTGGAGTGGTGGTAGCACTTACAAGATGTGATGAGAGTTTGGGTTTGCTAACTTTAATACAGTGCCACTTGAAAATAGCTACTCTGCTTCTGAAATAAAGGTGATACCTGTGCTTACCTCTCTGCTGCAGCATGCAGATGCAGCAGCTGCGTCAGAAAGGCCTGAGCTAGCTTCAGATTCTCCTCATGATCCGGCTGGGGTGTGCAGTTGACCTACATTCTCAGTTGTTGTATTAAATGATAGTATAGTACAGTATTATCGGATGTAACCTGCCTCTGTCTGTAAGATTACAGTAAATAGATTATTTAACATAGGTGTGTAGTGGGGGTTTCTCACTTTCTTTCCAGCTTACTGGAATATGGGTGTGCTGGAGTAAAAAATCTCATTAAAGTATTAGAGAAATACTTTTTTATCATAAACTAGTATTTATTTGAGGTTAAATATATTGAAAGAAATGTGTAATCCAAAGATGTTTCATTTTTAACTACCTATATGCTTTAAAAGCTGCTTCTACACAGACTGCATTTTTATGGAGCTTTTTCTGAAAGCAGGCTTGCTGATCATATTTAGAACAACTTGAACCGTATGACTTCAGAATACCCAAATCAAGTCAAGCATGTGTCTGTGGTGTAATGACAGTTGAAATTTGTGGCAGTCCTGTCAGTTGTAGCATTGGCACAACAGTTCTGTCTATAAAGTGATTTGTTTACTGCCCTCCTTTGGTTTTGGTGAATTCTAGGGTAGAGTACAGAAATATGTTACACTTCATGGGAACTAAAGTTGGAGTTGTTTAAACCAGTAATTTTTTTTTATTGATTTAAATTCTCTTTGCTTTTAGAAAGTCTCAACCAACTTTCCAAATGAGTGCTGATACTGAAATCTTAGATTCTTATAAACTAGGCTGCTAAAACATATTTTTATCTCTTGAGCGTGCTTGAATTTTGCAAAACTGAGCTAAAAAATTCTGAAAGTAAAGCATTTCGAAGGAGAGGTGTCAAAGCATGAGACTTAATCTGTGCCATTTCACAAATTACAGTGTTAATTTGGCTACATGCAAACTGAAATACAAGGTGATGCTTTAGTAGTGTTAAACCCTGACTTGACATCTGTTTCCTTGAAGTGAAAAATGTGTTTTCAACATGTTAACTTTTTGAGCTGCTTTACATATGAACAGTAATTCTTAAACAGAAGCAAAAATAACCAATCTGATAAATCCTAGATCTAAAAATTTCAATTTATGATGGCACATATGCTGCTGACTTTAAGTTAGTGCTTTGAAGGTGCACAGCATGCAGTTCTTGATCAAAAGAGATGTTAGGTTATACAGAATACTTGATTATATGAATGAACATGGGGTAATTTACTAGTAAAACTAGTAAATGAAAATAAGGAATGTGGCAACTCAATGGTCTAAAACTTGTGACCATTTTGACCCTTATGTTCTATTTGAGCAGAGAAATGGAGGTGTTTAGAAAGAGTAAACCTAAGTAGTGTCTGTCTTCTGGTAGTGCTTTTCATGCATGGTTCACAGTTAGAAGTATACGGTTTTCCCTTAACTTCGGTGGGTTGGTGTTTTGCAGTTGCGCTCGCCTATGGCATATACAAGCAAGATCTGCCGGCCTTGGAAGAGAAGCCAAGAAATGTGGTCTTTGTGGATATGGGACATTCTGCATATCAGGTTTCAATCTGTGCTTTTAACAAGGGAAAACTGAAGGTAATCTTTTAAGTCATACAATAAAAGCCAGTCTTCCTGAAGTATTTAATTGAACAAAACTCACAAAACTGTTCTGTGGCAAGATTACTCTTAAAAAAAACCAAACCCCAAATAAATGTCTACAGAGAGTATTTTTTTTTAAATGCTGAATACAAAAACTTTGTTACTTTTTTGGCTATTTCAGCAAATCAATTTTTGTAAAATGCAGAAATGAAGTATCCCAAAGTGTGTTCTGAAAAGCACTTGACAATTAAGCATACTGCATGGGTTTTGTGCTATGTTGTATCACTGAAATATCTGCATATTCTGGTAGTCTCATAAGCTTTGTAGTTGAGCAACTGATTTATCTATGGGAAATGGATGAACTCCCTGAATTACTCTGTGGTGATTTTTATTTTTTTCTGCCATCCATGAAGGTTCAAAATCTAAATTCAATAGGATGTGAAATGAAACTGAACAGTCTTTACTTCCTGGCTTGGAGATTTTTGCCTGTGAGCTACTGATGGCTGAATGTTTTTGCAAACTTGTCTTTGGTAGCAAAATGTAGTCATCTGAAGTTGGAGAGATGATGATAGTGAGTTTTTCTGTTTTGAGTAAATGACACAGAACCAGTAATAGCATGACAAAATAGCTATCCTAGTTTGCCTTTTCTTTAGTGAGCTAGTAAACTGTGTAGGTGCTGCAGCGCGGTAGAAAATAGCATGGTAGATGGGATAGTATTTTATTTGGGTAGGGCAGAAACTAAATAATTGAGGCGTGATCCTTTTAAGTTGTTTTATCTGGCAACTGCATAGAAGATGGTGAGAAAACCACGAAGAATTTTCCCCATATCAAACCTGTTTTTAAAGGTGCTAACTTACAAAACTAGTGTCTGTATGAAAGTTATCACTGTATCTAAACAACATGGTCTAATAACTTTTAATCTTTGTTCTTTCACTTCTGTGCAGGTCTTGGCTACTACCTTTGACCCTTTCATAGGTGGTAGGAATTTTGATGAGGCTTTGGTAGACTACTTCTCTGAAGAATTTAGGACAAAATACAAACTGAATGTAAAAGACAATCCCCGAGCGCTGCTACGATTGTATCAGGAATGTGAAAAACTAAAGAAGCTTATGAGTGCAAACGCTTCTGACCTTCCGCTCAATATTGAGTGCTTCATGAATGACCTGGATGTCTCCAGTAAGATGAACAGGTACTGTGCGTTATTTTCACTGGAGTACTTTGAAGTGTGGCCTTTAAGCTGTCTTGTAATGTGAACCGCTTCCCCTCTTCCTGTAGAGCTCAGTTTGAGCAACTGTGTGCTGCCCTTCTGTCCAGAGTGGAACCTCCTCTAAGAGCAGCCATGGATCAAGCTAGTAAGTAGGAGTTAACTTAGGTATTACTTTTAGTTCAAGAAAGTAATTAGTAATCCAGTTCTCCTAGACCTCTTTAATGATTATCTTTTTAATATATTTTTGTATTTATTAGAATTGCAAAGCTAAGTACTGAAAAGTTAAATGTAAGTTCCATTCATATGCTTGTCATGTATGCATGATCCCATTCCTGCCTCATTTAGTGCACATATCACTCTGCAACCTTGGTTTATTGACCCTCATTCACCCTATGCAATGGAAAAGGTTGGTGCTCTGAAAGATTGTTTTATTTAAAAACAGAAAACCACCAAACCAAAACAATGATGGGAAAAACTATTACTCTTTACTGCAACTGTCTGGCCAGCCTGTTCCATATGTGATACATACTTGTCCTCACTGACCTGAGAATTTGGCAGTATATTCTTGAAATAAATTATCTAAAGCATGTGCAAATAACAAAATTTTTTTAATTTTTTTTTTTGCCTAATGTAGTATGAAGGAGAGAATTAGACTTTGACAGGAAAGCTTTTATCCATAATTCCAGCATCTTCAACTGAAAGAAAGGAAAGAATTCTGCTTATCTTGTGACTTGGCTAGATAACTAATATAGGAAGTAAGAACCTGAGTAACTGCTGAGCAGAATTGTTCAAGGACTGACAGTTGTTTGAGATCGCTTTATACACATATCTAGAATTCAGAATTAAGAAGTTACCCTGCAAGCACAGCCTAATATTTATTATATATTTTTAGTTAAGGGTTTTGCTTTTCTTTATTGGCAACTCGATGGAAACCAGATAAAATGAGGTATACTTGGGATTCATTTTGTTCTTGTTTGGGAGAGGTGAGGTATCATCCAGTAGTGCAGGGCTGCCAGAGAAAACCCAATTACCCACACGTGAGTTCGTGCACACCAGAAAGGGGATACACACGGACAGAGCACTTTAAAGACCAGCTGTCCTCAATGATGCTTGGCTTCTGCATTTTCTAGGATTATGCAACTAGAAAACTTTGTGGCCTGCAGGAGGGACAAAGAGTTTGAATAGGACACATCATGAGAAATCTGGTTTTAAACATCTTGGCCGTTGACTATATTCAAAGCTTGTCACAGTGTCTAGATAACAAAAGAACTCTTTATCTTTTTTCGGTTGTCCAAAGACAGCTTTTTGATATCTTGATGCTAACTTAAGGCCATGCACTCTCTTTTCTAGAACTTCAGCGTGAAGATATCTACAGTATAGAAATAGTAGGTGGGGCTACTAGAATTCCAGCAGTGAAGGAACAGATTTCTAACTTTTTCTGTAAAGAGATAAGCACCACGCTAAATGCTGATGAAGCTGTCGCAAGAGGCTGTGCCTTGCAGGTATAGTTATTGAAATTAAACTTCAGTATTGCTTCTTTAACATCACATGCTAATGAAATACAACTAACCAAAAGTGAAAGGTGCTGCAGCTGAAACAAGGTGTAGAGTCTGACTTGTTCTTTCCCTGTCACAGTGACCATGTCAGAAATGATTGTATTACATGCGGTAATTTGCTGCTGTGTCATGTTAGAAGGATGGTCTTGTTAGAGACCTGTTAAATTTAATGACGTAAATTGCATTGATCCACTCCTGTGCGGTCATTCGGAAGCTTTGCTGGGTATCTTTACTGATAATCACTGGGGAAGTAGCATCTGTTACTATTACTATAATGTAGTGAAGTCTTTCAGTTCAATTAACTTTCTACTAAGCATAGAAAGTTTCTGTTATAAATCCTGTGATAAGCAGGGCCTCTGTGTGACCTACATGAATTGTAGCCTTTTTGCACTTAGGTATTAATTACTGTACTTGCTACGTGGATATAATAAATTTTTGGTCTTTGTTTTCTAGTGTGCAATTCTTTCCCCAGCTTTTAAAGTGCGTGAATTTTCCATCACAGATGTTGTTCCTTATTCTGTAACATTAAGATGGAAATCGTCTTATGAAGAGGGAACAGGGTAAGTTGTATGGTGCCCCCTAAAAAGTGTGTGTTTGTATATAAAGAAAAACATTGAGCTATGGGAAGGACCAGGCCTCAGGCTTTGAAGCTGTCATCCACTTGAACAGTTTTAATTTTCTTGTTTTGCATTATACCTCTTGGTTTTTCCTTACTGCTTAATAATGAAATACATTAAATTAAAAAATGTTGGTGTGAAGTTGCCTGATTTTTGAGAAGTGACATAGAATAGTCCAGCTTTGAGACTTACAGGCCTTCAACCTGCAACTCTTGTCATAAACAGATTTAAACTAAATTATTTAGCTGCTTGGTTAGCACAGCTGATGATGACTACCATACCTTGATTTTGATTATCCATTGTGTTATGCTCAGTGGTTTAACCTTACTTAATATTCTGCTGCTTTAGGGAGTGTGAAGTCTTCAGTAAGAACCATGCTGCTCCATTCTCAAAAGTAATTACTTTTCACAAGAAAGAGCCTTTTGACCTGGAAGCTTACTATACCCATCCGCATGAAGTGCCTTATCCTGACTCCAGAATAGGTAAGGACATGAATAAAAACCCCATACCCAGCTCCTGTTGATAATGGGAAAAGCGGTTCTCCTTTTTCAAAGACACGTTGCTTCTGTATTTCCTAGGTTACAGAAAAGCCTAGGTCCTTTAGAAAGGTTCGGCACAGTTGTCTTTGTTTAGATTCAGTGATCAAACGGTATCAACATCTTCTTTTGGCAGTTCCTAAAAAAAATTTTTCTTCGCTCTGTCTTTGCTGTTTCTGAATGCTTTAAAAAAGTAGGTACAAAGAGTTTAGTGCTCTATTGTCTGCTGCTTTCAACCTCTAAAATGGATAAGGATCTTATGTGCCCGCCAGCCTGGATTTTTCAAAGAAATTAGATCAAAGGAGCTGTTAGCACTAGACATGTATCTGTCCAGACAGGTATCCGTCATGTCTCTTTCTGTTCATCTGAGAACATAGAAGGAATGCATTTCCAGGATGTAAGCATCTGTAGTAGAGTCTGAAGTATTAGATGGTATGAATAAGTTTCCTGGTAGCTAATACTACCTTACTTGCAGTTAGTAGACTCCTCAGGGTCTTTAATTCACAATTTTATTTACTGATTTATGAATTGGATATAAACTTGGTGCTGTCTGTGCAAGAAGTCTGCTGTCTTTAGGAAAGAATGTTCTCCCTTTACGTTTGGCACAGTTTGCATCATTCAAACTGAAATTTCCAGCAAGATGCAAAATAAGAGATCGACCTCACTGCTTCCAGAAGCCTTGATTAGTGCTGTTCATTCTCCAAAATGTGTAGTGTACCCATGTTACCAAACTCAAATAGAGCCTTTTATCTCTGTTAATATTTTATTTTTTATTGCAAAGTTGGAGTTACGTGGATGAAAGAAACGATTTGAGATGAATCGATTTCTCTAGTGTGATGGTTAGAGAAGGCAACAGAAGGAGAACACCTAATAAAGTGTTACCTTGACTTTTTAATGAAATCCAGAGAAAGCAAAAACATCTTATTAATTATCAGTTAACTGATAATAATTGGAGAACCGGGTTTTAGTTATCTAGCTGCATCTTACATTGTAGAATTGACATCTAAGTAGAAAGTTTCCAAATAGTTACATTAAGTTGCTGTTTAATTTAGCACCCTTCACTAATAAAGTGTTACCTTGACTTTTTAATGAAATCCAGAGAAAGCAAAAACATCTTATTAATTATCAGTTAACTGATAATAATTGGAGAACCAGGTTTTAGTTATCTAGCTGCATCTTACATTGTAGAATTGACATCTAAGTAGAAAGTTTCCAAATAGTTTAAGTTACATTAAGTTGCTGTTTAATTTAACACCCTTCAAGGAATGTATTTTATTTCTTTTTCTTCCTCTTCCACTATTTTTTTGGGGAATAACAATTAAAACCATCCCTTTTTTTTTTTCCAAGGGCGTTTCACTATTCAGAATGTTGGTCCTCAACATGATGGTGACAATTCCAAAGTGAAGGTTAAAGTGCGTGTCAATATTCATGGCCTTTTCAGTGTGGCTAATGCTTCTATAATAGAGAAGCAGAACACAGAGGGAGATCACAATGACACACCTATGGACACTGAATCATCAAGTAAAAACCAAGGCAGAGATGATGAGCTGGTATGTAAACTTGTAAATGCCTACACTCCTTGAAATTTTGACAAGAGAACCAATAATTAGAGATTAAATCATTGTGTATAGCTTTTGACAATTACTAACTTCTCCACCCTTAAATTATTTCTTCAGTTATGTAACATCTTTCTTCATGTTTATCATGGTGACATGTAGCACTAAGCAAAAAAGAATGTAAACCCAGACTCTAAAGAAAGTTTTAACTTTTTCATTGGTCTTTACTATCTCTGTACTAGTTTTAGTGTTATCTAGTGTTGCTATTAAATGGCAACGTATTTAGTGAGATCTGTTGACAAATGAATTGTAAAGGTTGGTTTTTCCTCAAGTACTACATTTTCAGTGAGTAAAAAATTTATGGTATTTCTTTATATATGGCAAACTTGTTCTTTATAAACATTCCTTCACTAAGGGCACTTACGTGCTTCAGTGTTGGCAGTTCTCACAAACTGGCTTGTAAGCCTTCAGGGGAAAATTACTGGAAATAAATGTGCAACAGCTTGTCATTAATACTGAGAAATTAACGAAATGATGTGTTCTCATTCTAGTGCAAGAAGGATCAGCTTTCTGGATAGTGCACTGCATGCTGAAAGCAGACCACTGAGAGTAGTGAGGTGCACTCAGTGCATTTGACACTGTAGAGTTGAGCACCAGGTGCCTGGGAGCACTTTGCAGCTGGGAAGGGCATGCAGGCTTTCTTTTTTCTTGTGCCCTTCTATAGCTTGGGATTTTGGTTATGTCGCAGCTCACAGGGGAGAGAGATGATAGCGTAGAGAAAAAGAGGACAAAGTGGTGGGCAAGCTGCAATCTCAGACAGCAAAGCGCTCAGCAGAGTGAGGGGTCTCGCAGGCTGTCGGGCGCACAGAGGGAGGGTTTCCTTAGAGGGGGAAGGTTGGACAGAAAGCAAACACTTAGCGGCTTTCTTTAGAGGAAGGGGTGAATGCATTTTCTGTCATTACCTTTTAAAATTTGTCCTTAGCAGCTTTTTCCACTTTAGTTGAGTATACCACAGGAATTGGAGCAAGTGGTTGCATAATTAGTATTACATAATTGATGTAAAATGGTTGAAAGTGACATAGCTGGCGTGTAGTGTAACAGGCGTACTTAACTGCATGTGGAGGTTACTAAGATGAGTATGTTCTGTTCAGTACAAGAGTAACCACTTCCATCCTCAGGCTTTCGATTTGTAGTACTTCGGTTCATCTAACACACCTTCTGTTTTACACTGGTGCTTGTCAGCAGTTACCTTTCATTACTGAGGATGATACCCTTGACTCTGAGGAGGAGGTTTGTGGTGTATATATGTATTATTTTCCCCCTCTAGCTTTTCTATGTTGGCAAAACAGTTCCTTCCAGTTGTTGCCTTTTCTGTGTGAACAGTAAGAACAGTAAATGAGGAAATTTTTTTCCTACTCTGAAGTGACAAAACTTAAATTTCGTAAAAGTAGTCTTCTTGGTTTTAAGTTTTATCATTAAAAACTTGCTGAATCAATTAACGTAGCTAAACTGCAACATATGCACCTGTGCTAGAGTTTGAAATCCTTCAATATCTTTTTCTTGTGTTTCACAGAACTAACAGTAAATTATTTTACATACATACGTAGTTTGTGAATCCAGGAATCTTCATTCCCTGTAATGGAAGTAATCTTAAACCTTTCAGACTTCTGCTACAGCTTGTTATTTATTGATGCTCTGGATGTCCCAAGTATTGGAGTCATGCTGAAATCTTTAGACTTATCCATTACTATGTTATTAAAAGCTTTTTTGCAATGATGATAGGGAATTGTATTCCTTAAGTAATCAGTGATGTCTTTAAGATCCATAAATTTAGAGTAAGGCATAGGTGAGCTACAGATAAATTTAAGTGAAACTTCTGTAAGTTTGGGTGGCAGGGAGGGAAGTCAGCAGGTCATGTGCTCCAAGAGGCTACTACAGAAACTAATTTTTATGGTCCTATGAGACAAATGCAGGTAACAATTACCATGACTAAATTACTGCTGCTTTGGATTACCAACTTTAAAGTTTAGGTGAAAAATGGTATGAGGCTGAAGTTCTGGCTGTTCCATAGAGAATCTATTGTTATTGCCTGTGGTGGTGGTGTGTTTCTAGAATGTTCTTTGCATACATTTTGTATGTATTTATTTCTAAGTTAAGGGAGTATTCACAGGGCTTAGTGTAATTCTTTAACAGGGGAAGGATGGCAACATGATAATTATTTCAAGGGGGACAGGCAGAATCCAATTTCCATTTAATTTGAGAAAGACGAATACAAGTACTATATCAAAATACCTATTTAAATATGGTGAATCAAAAATTCTTCAGATTGATTCTTAAGTCCTTATAGTATCTGTGATCTACTGTAATTGACGGCAGTCTTGCATTGTACAGCAAACCTTTGCGTTCAGTTATGTAACTCTCTTTCTAGGATAAAATGCAGGTTGATCAAGATGAAGGTACTCAGAAAAGTCAAGCTGAACAGCAGAACCAAGCAGATGAGGAATCTGAAAATGCAGGAACCGAAACAAAAGTTCGTATTCAGTATTGATAAGGAAATGTAATGTTGTTTCCCGTAGGCTTTTTTGCCCAGTGCTCTCAAAGTCATTAATCTGACGAAGAGGAGTACAGCTATGTTGAAAGGATTAAGTTAGGAATCCTGCCTTAGCACTTCAATTTCAACATAGTATATGATTAAGACTTTGAAGTAAGTTTCTGTTAACATAGTTTTATAGTGAAGATGGAATCTAGGGAAGCTTAGGAAAAATTATGAAGAATGTGTGGTGCCTTTAGCTTTTTGAATAGGTTTTCTCATCAGCTCTTCACATTATGTTTAAAGAAATTAAATTTTACCAGTTTGTTTTAGAACTAAGGTAGTGGTGATTCTGAATAGCAGAGGAATAATTAAGTGCTTCATTTATATGTTATTAATTCGTAGCGCTCATACTAGTTTCATTTGTCTCTCTTTTTGAGCATAAATGTAGTCATATTTCTATTCTTGACAGTTTCTTCATAGTCTTTTCTTTAATAATCTTTTTATAGGCTGCTTGTGGAGACAAGCAAGATAATCCAGCGCAGCCAAAGGCTAAAGCAAAAGTTAAGAGTATTGACCTACCTATACAGGCAAGCCTCTATAGACAACTGGGACAAGATCTTATCAATTGCTATATAGAAAATGAGGTAAGCTGCATAAACAGATGACCACTCAAGTTAATGTCACTGTAAATAATTATCCAGAAAGTATTTGCAACCATAAACTTATTACCTAATTTAGAATTCCTTGGGGGTTTGTCGTTAATTGTAAGGGGGTTTGTTTTAAGTGGCTTTTTTTGAGAAATTAATCAGAGTCACTGAACTACCCAGATGTTTGAGTTTGATCCATTAGCCTGTCATTACCTAAAGTTCCGTTCTTAGGCAGGAAACGTGTAAGATGACCAGGAAAGGCTGCACAGTATGTTACAGGGCTGCTATTGGTTATTGACTGACCCAGTGCTGGTCAGGAGTAGTGTTTGCATGGGGCTTTTGTGCTTTACAGAAGCTGTGTCCTTACTTAGATCACATTTTTGCCCTTCAAGTCCTCCATCAGCAGGGAAGTATTAGAACATGCAGAAAACCTGCATTTCAGAGGATCCTTTCTGAACTTCGTAGGTATAATGTTTGTGAAGATCCCACCAGCATAAGCTCTTCTCAGAAAGATGGTCAGTCTGAAGAATAAAATAGGAAATAATTTTTATAGGGCAGAATTATTCCTAGTGATTTCCAAACCAGAGTCCAGACTTGTCTTTACTTTGAGTCCCGTCTGTGGTGGTCAGATCATAATTGATATCTGATCCATTTATGTTGAAACATTTGCCAAACAGCTTCCAAATATGAGCTCACTTTTTTGCCCTGTTCCAGTTCTGCCTGCAGTGAAGACAGCTTACACAGAGTGAAAACTTTTTAATCAGTAATTGTGAATTAGCAGGCTTCTGCAAAGTTCTGTGGTATAGTTTCAAGAGAGTAGTCATTAAGCTTGACACTTGAAATGCTTTTAGTTTTAAATAAGCTTTTCTCCACCCTAGGGGAAGATGATGATGCAAGACAAGCTTGAGAAAGAAAGAAATGATGCTAAGAATGCTGTTGAAGAATATGTGTATGACTTCAGAGACAAACTGTGTGGAGTCTTTGAGAAATTCATCACTGAAGAAGTAAGACTCACCTATGTTTCAAATGTCAGACAGAACTCTGGATTTTTGCGTTTTGAGTGTGGGTTATGTGGAGGCTGCAGGGGTCTCTGGGACTTGTTTCAGAATGTGGAATGGATTAACTTCACAGAAGTGAAGTTCAAACTATACTTACTAACTTGGAAACATGATTCCCCACTTAAAAGTCCAAGGAAAAGGTGATGAAGAAAGCTGTACACTGGGCTGTTGTAAAAGCAGTATTGAAAGAACACTTGTCTTACAACCATTTCTCTTAACAGCCATCTAAATAAAAGTGGCTGGTACACAAGCAACCAGTTGTTGAGGCAACAAACGTCCAGCAGCAGTTTTAAGGTCTGCTCTCTGGATTGATTACCTGGTCATCAACCCAGCAACACAGTACAGATGCTCTTCCAGTATAAACTCAAGGGTGTGAGGCTGTCTTTCCCATACCAATTTTGAAACCGTCTCTTACATAAGTTAGAGCGATAGAGAATATTTTTATTTCTAAATAATTAAAGATAAAATCTTTGTTTATAGCTGGTAGAGTCCAATTAAAACAATTTTAACTTCAGCTATATTCTTCTGTCCTGCTATCAGAACTTGAGAAGCAGAACTTCCCATGTAGAGATAATATGTGAGAACGTTGAGATATGCATGTGCTTTCTTATAAAAGCAATCCTGAAGCTATGTAACTCCCATAAACTTCACCTGCAAAAATCAAATGAGTAGGGCTCTCCTGCCTGTCTTACCATTCTGTAAAATCTTGCCTTTGAAGTCTGTTGATTACCATTTTTCCTTCACTATCACTTTGAATATTTTAAACTGATGAAAAAGTCTTTTTTTTGAGTAGGGAGGTTTCTTTGTGTGCTGGGGGGAGAAGTCTCATTTGTCGTGTTCCCTTCTGAACTAGAGTATCCCTAACTTGCTTTGTAGGATTCAAACAAGCTGACCTTGATGTTGGAGGACACAGAAAACTGGCTTTATGAAGATGGAGAGGACCAGCCAAAACAAGTATACATGGATAAGCTTCAGGAATTAAGAGTAAGGCTTTAAGTTACCTTCTAGGAAAAAAAGTGTGTGTGTTTGGCAGTGGGGGAATTTATACAAATAAATGTGGCTAAGTAAGCAAAGCTCTCTTAATGAGGGGGGGGTGTGTGCATACCCATGTGTGAGTTTTGTAAATCCGTTAACTCTTAAGTACGGATATTCAGGTTGTATCTGGATGAGGTTTAGATGTGAAATGAACGTAATACTGAGAACTAGAAATACAGTTTGTTTTAATGTCAGTTGTGCTCCTAATTTGAAAACAGTCAAAATGACGCAGGCTGTCACTAGTGACAATACAATTAATTGCTATGGAATTTTTCTGCCAGTCTTGTTACAATCTGAAAGCGGCTTCTGAGTAATTTGCTCTCCCAGGTATTCAGAATTACACTCCAGAAGAGATGCTCTGGTTTTCCTGTTTTCAGTGTCTTCTATAATTGTATCATAAAACTGAATTTTTGGTCTAATATCTAAAGATAAAGGCTGCAGAGTGCTTTAACAGTAGCTTCCATGGTATCATTTCATTAGTAATGACAAAAAACCTTAAATAATTCAGATTTTAATAATCTCATGGCAAAATGTGAATTCTGATGAATGACTAACTTAAATTTACTACAGAGTAGCATGTCTTTAGCTCTTAGGCTCCAACTGTTTTCTCTCAAGTCAGATGTCCTTTTTAGGGAAGGATAACTGGTGGAAACAGCAGTGTAGATCCTGGCAACTCCCTTCTTGCCTGGATCCCAGTATTCAAGAGAAATACAGACAGTGGATAAAACTAGAAGTTTTCAGGTGAACGACTTAAAAATTAAACCATCCATATAAATCCTGTCTGGTTTCTCTTCCAAATGCGTTGTTCCAAATGCTCTTTTTTGCTCTAAATAACTGCAAAATGCTAAGCCTAATAAGAACAGGCAGTACTCCTGTGTTGAAACATCTGGGCTCTTATTTTGTTGTTGTTGCACTAAAGCAAAATGGAAAGATGAAGCTCTTGAATGGGTGAGAAAAGGAGTTACAGCAGCCTTCCTCTACTATGCTATTCTTAAATCAGACTAAAGTAAACTTGTATTTTGTCAAGATCTTTGTGCTTGTTTCTAGAAATTTGGACAGCCTATTCAGGAAAGATACATGGAACATGAAGAGAGGCCAAAAGTGTTAAATGAACTGGGAAAGAAGATTCAGCTCCTTATGAAAGCAGTAGAAGCATACAAAAATAAGGTAGAAGGAAATTATTTAGGCAATGAACTATTATGGGTGTCCAAGTTTGGTTGAAGAGTTTGTTGTGTTTAAAAAGAAATCCTGTAGGATTACCTGTCAAGCTGCTTTAAAATGGCTATTGTGCTTCTGCTACTGAGAACTTCTAAAACGATTCTGGATTACTAGGAAAAATGGCGTCTTCATGAGAACGCAAATTAAGCGTAGTCACGTTTTTTATGGTGACTTGTACCATTTGAAATTAGTACCTCAACTTTACAGCTGTAACCATTGTTTCTATAACTTATGAGACTGACTATTGGGGTTAGTTAATCAAACTACAGTAAATCTCAGGTGGTTTTTTCCTTGCAACTTCATTACTAACCTGTGCTTCAGCAAGGTGCATGTCAGATCAAAATTTCCAATGTCTAAAAAATAATGTCCTGTCTTGTTCTACAGTCATTTTTCATACTAAATGCTTGTTAAAAACTATTTCCATCAGGTTGTAGCAATGTTATCCTATTTTAGTACATGTCCATGAAATTCTTAATTGGGTGGGAAGTGTCTATATTAATAGATGATATAAATCTCTCTCTCTTTAGGATGAAAAATATGATCACCTGGATCCTGCTGAGATGGAAAAAGTTGAAAAATATATTAGCGAGGCTATGAATTGGTTGAACAGCAAAATGAATGCCCAGAACAAACTAAGTCTAACTCAGGATCCAGTTGTGAAAGTGGCAGAAATACTGACAAAATCTAAGGTAAAAAAAAAAACATCATTGTACATGTTACATTCTAATAAAGTTTTTCTTTAACAAGATTTTGGCCTCTATGTTGAGCTAGAAGATTAATCCTGCAGACATTTTAAAGCTATGAAAAGATCCATACAGAGGGAGCATCAGTTGTATCTTAAATTCTGGCTCTTGATTTACAGCAGTACCTCTGCATCAGCCTTTTGAAAGTAGCCTGAGTTACAGCACCAGGCTTGCTAGAAAATGGATTGCCATATAAGCTTTTAACAGATCAGAAGCTCTTTAGCCAGGGAAGGGTTTTACTTTGTTTCTAGACTCGATAGAATTGAAAAATCTAGTCCTTGGAAATTAAATTCCAGGTCATTACGAACCAGAAACAAATTTGAGACATTGTCATTGAATGCAATTACTGTACCACCAAATGAACTTGCTCTCTTGCTTCTGTTACAACTAGGAATTGGATAGCTTCTGTAATCCCATTATATACAAGCCCAAGCCGAAGATAGAACCTCCCAGTGATGGGCAGTCAAAAGCTAATGGTGAACACAATGGACCAGTGAACGGACAGAGCGGTACTGAAACAAAACCTGAACCAGCGAAGGACAATTCTCAGCAGACCAAACCACCTGGAGAAATGGAAGTGGACTAAATCTTGCATTTCTTTTACTTAATTAAAATAGTGCAAGTAACCACAGGGTCCATTGTTTTTGGTCTGGTACACACCTCAGATGTTCAGTTATTCTTAGCCACCCTTCTGTCATTTGTTGCTGAGTAGTTTTGAAAGTGTTTTATATTAAGTACACCTCTGATGTTCATTTCCACTGATGCTGCTTATGTGGAGCTTTAGCCAAATGTAGATTGTATAAGTCAGTTTAAGCTTTCCCAATATATTTTATATCAAACATACAGAATTGATATATAAATGGCAACAATCTACCTTATTTAAAGCTTTTATTGTGGATAAACCTCAGCTCCTTTATTCAGGAAAGGATACTGTATTGCACTACTGATGCTCAAGTGTAGATCTAATTGCATCTTTATTTTGGAAAAATATTGGAATTGAAGTGGCAAAACTTGTCACTTGAAGCACTGACCTTTTCTAGTTATTGTATTGTTATAATTTAAATATTAAAGTAGAGGTTAGTTGGCATACTAGTCCATCTTGCTGATGTACCATGAGAATTGTATGGTCTTTTTCATATAAACTGAATAACACAAGCTTAAAAGTTTTTTTTTTAGATTCCCATACCACTAACAATCCTAGTTACAAAAATGCTGGCATAATGGCTCTGCCATGTGCTGAAATTCCATGAATGGTCTCAGTGCACATTGCTGTACATAATGTACTGTGCTTACGATAATAGTATAAAGGGGTAGAATATCCAAGGACTGTTGCATAGCTTTCCCTTGAAAATGTCTTGTTGCACATGTTACTATTTCTGCTTTTGTTTTGAATGAAATCTACATCTTGTGCTGGGCAGGAGAAACAACAGAAATTGCGCTGTGCAAGCTGTATGCTAGCACCCTGACTTTGAGGTTGCTTAAATGCTGTTTGTTGCAAACTTGAAAGAAATACTGAGAGCTTATTTAAGCCTTGGTACTCAGCACGTATTTATACAGAAGAACTTACAAACTGGATAATAATACCCCAAAGATGGTATCTACTTGATGAGCTTGCATAGCTTACCAACTGTCTTTGGTCATTGACTTGATTTGATGAAAGCGTCTGTAATGTGTTACACAGTTGAGTCACTATTTTCTTTGACATGTCTTAGGCACTGTCAGGGTCCACTGTACATTGATATATTGTGAGTGCTTCTGTCAGTCACCAAGGTACTGTGGCACTTGCTAGAGAAGTCACTTTTGACTGTAAACAACTCTTCTATTACCAGAATAGGAATGGGCTACTCTATGAAAAGTGGTTTCTTAGTCAAGTCAGTGTCAGACTGAGATGAGTTGCAGTGTAACACTTCAGTGACTTGAATGCCATTGCAGAACTGCGTTGAGGTG